TATTTGCTCCCAATGGTGTCACAGTGAACCAACATTACTATCTGTAAGTTCGTGAGATAGTGAGAAAAAACGAACTGAATTGTGGCGATCCGAGGACAGGCTGCTGCATCATGGCAACGCGCCTGTCTACACAGTGTTCAAAATCAACTAGTTTTGGTGAAAACGGCATGACGACGGTTTCACACTCCCTTGCTCACCCGACCAACCCCGCTGGGACTCCTTTTTCTTAAGAATGAACAAAAACCTGAAGGAGAAGCGTTTTTATGACGCGAAAGAGATTAAGAAAAGTTGCTGGGACAACTTAACAGCAGTAATTCAGAAGAATGTAAAAATATTGCGAACAATGGGAAACCCTTTGGGAAAAGCGTATATCATCTAATGCACAGTATTTTGAAAGGAATTAATGTCTTAAAGAGGGTTATCTTAAATAACAAAATTAAATAAATCTCGTTTGTTTGGGCACCCCCTCGCGTTCTGATTCAAGTGCTCAGGATAGGGCGTAGCGCGGACTGTGTGTAAACTTATTACATGCGTTTTCATTTTTATTCTCATTAGACATAATGGGTTTTCACAACAATGAGAAGCACAAGTTCCTGAAGATCGTATTGGCTCTGCCGCGTTTCATTGCACCTGCCAAGCGGATCCTGGAAAATGGTTTCACGTTCTCTCCAATGTCTCTACAAGTAAGCGGTTTACCGTTTTTTTCAGCGATGACCGTTGATGGAAACTGAAATAGCCAGTTATTATGCATTCTGCGTGCGTAGGCTTGATTAATGTCTGTTACTTGTGCCCCAGTCCTATGCCCCGTTTGAAGCCAACATCGACTTTGAAATACGCTTTATGGTGGACGTTGGTATGACCGGGTGTTGTTGGATAGAACTGCCTGCCGGAAAATATCTCTATCGAGTTAGACGACAAGCCACAACTCCAACCAAATCGCAGTCAGTGAATCAGATGCAGAGGCACCACTTCGCTAACGAAGAAGATCGCCTATCGCCTCTGCCTGGTCAGACGCGCTGCCAGATCGAAGTTGACATTGCCTTCGACGAGTTGGTGATCTACCCTACTGAGGGTGAATGGAGTAAAATTGCGCCAATGCGAATCCTCAGCTTCGATATTGAATGCGCTAATCGAAAGGGTAAATTGCGCTTCATGTAGATTGTCTTATTATTTTTGATGACCTAATTTATCAATGTGTGGGCTATCTAGCCGTTCGCCTGACTTGTGTTTTTAATCGGGATGCATGACTGTGTGCATGATACTCAGCCAACGAGTCAACGTGGCATTTCTGCATATGTAGGTATCTTCCCAGTCCCGGAGGAGGACCCTGTTATTCAGATTGCCAACATGGTGGTGAATTATGGTGAGCAGAAGCCCTTCATCCGGAATGTCTTCACGCTCAACACATGCGCGCCCATCGTCGGTTCGCACGTCATCTGCCATGACAAGGAGAATGATATGTTGGCGGTACTGATCATTTTATTTATATTGTTCTCATAACTGCTATGAGAATGCCGCATGTCGGTTTGCGTTTAGCACGTTTGTGTTACCGTGAATTTCTGTCATTTAAACGTAAAAGTGATTCCATTGTGAGCTCGTGAATAATTCTCCTCTCTCGCTCTCTGGAGTAGTTTTATCGACTGTTGGAGCGTCGAGTTCATTTTGACGTTTCTGACTCCCGCCCGAACCCATCATCGGTCAGTGACGGGTAGATAACAAATACGCAGAGAATTGTTGTATCTATGAGATGCGCCTGCCACGTAGCCGTAGACGTTTTGGTTTGCTGGTAAGGCACGATCCACCCATCACAGCATCTTCTGTTTCGGTTCTGGCAGTTGGTGAGCTGGTAACGAGGTGGTCCTGCATGTCAGTAGTTTCGTCCGGAATACCGTACAGTTACGTCGCATATGTGTGATTCACTACCACGTGTTGGCAGAATCTGTATCTTTCTTGGGTTGGATGTGGGTCACTCCGTTTGTTTGTTGAATCCGAGCCCACTCAAGCAGCTTGAAAGTCGTTCAACTGTCGTCGTTTCTGAGGATCTCGGCCTCGTAGGACTCAAAGGTGTGGTCTTTTTCTGTCGAGTGGGTTGCAGCTTGATAGGAGGCGTAATTCTTACCGGAAGCCAACAGCTGTTCAGTCACCCGATTGAGGAGTAATCCTTCTGTTTCGGCGACTTAGTTGCCATGACCGTAGACAAATCAAACCATGCCAGTGGTTCCGGACTTTTGTTTCGGCGACAG